CCCTCTCACTCCAACAAATGACATTCTCTGGAGGAGGCCAGTGTGTAATAATTGAAACCGTAACACGATCCGACACCTGATTTCACAAAGGTGTTGGGGATATTCGGGAATAGGGACGTGTTGAAGGACAGGTAATGCATGACTACGTTAAATAGGTTGGGTGCGATTTTTCTGTAAGTAACATTAGGATATAGAACAGGCAATTTAGCGGATGTTCCATTCTTGAGTGAATAGTTGATTCCGTCGCGCCGACTACATTCGATTGCGCACATTTTTACCGATTCAACGTTCCTCAGAATCAAATCCGGATCATCTGAGCAGCAGGAATCGACGGAGCTGCCGCCATTTAATGGGCATTTCAAAAAGAGATCACCCAAGACGAGAACACTTCGTGGGAGAAATACCATTGCTAGCTGGACCAACGTCATCATCTGCCACACGTGAGAGCATCTACTAATTTTTATAACTAAATCATTTGTCATTTTCATATTTTGGAGGAGTTGAACTTGCAAAATTTTCAAAATTTTAGTTCAAACGCCTTAAATACACGATAAATTATTTCTGATAGCCTCTATGATACACACGCTAGCAATCTGGATTAAAATATGAAATTCATACAACATCAGCTATTTCAATATATATGTTGAAATATATATTTCAAATATTTTTTGTCGCAAAACATGGAAGTAGATCAATAAAGACAGGTGCAGGTAATGTTTTAATGCTCGAACAATAAAACAAAGACACCCAACATTACATTGTTCCATTGCTCGTCAATCAAATCAAATTCAGCAAGGTACGGCGCGACAGAAAGAAACAATATGATGAAAATTTTTTTAAAGACCGCCACGAATGCCCCACGAAACGAACTCGTCACGAAACTCATTGTTTTTTGCGTCCACAATTAGAAGGAATTTCTGCACAGTTTTTTATTAAATAGAATCTCTTTGAACATTTATTCCTTCATATTAATAACCATGCACACATATACACGCTGCATACACACATAAACACATCCATACAAACAAACACATAATCACACTTGCATGCACACATAAACACATCCATACAAACAAACACATAATCACACTTGAAGGCACACATAAACACATCCATACAAACAAACACATAGTAATACTTGCATACATACATAAATACATCTAGATAAACAAACATAAAAATAAGAATATTGTTACAGACGTGAAGCCGAGAAAAGAACTAGTAGTTAGAAATTAAGTGAAGCGCTTGCAAATTTAATTAGAAGGCGTAAATATGATTCACGTAGTTATTTGGATTAATTTATTGTTTCTATTACTGCTGGCGTTAAATAAACGTTCAATTTAGTTTGCGTTTAAAGAAGTTGTGTTCATTGTTCATCCATCGGAAATCTTGAACCTACGGATAAACGAACTCTTGACAATCGTTGGGATCAACAACACGTTGTTGGAGATATAGCGAGTATTGAAGCTATAACATCGGTGTTGGTAGTTACGAGGTCGAAGAGGTTACACCACAGGTGTTAAAAGTTGGATCTTCAGGAGGTTACACACTGGTGTCAGAGATTAAATTTTGATAGCCGGAAACACACTGAGATGAAAAATACCAGGACTAAAGAACTCAATGTAATTAGTGTGACAAGAGAAACTTAACTACTGACGAATAGCTGTACTCCGTGATTTACCTGTCGGTTAGTTATTGTGCTGTATTCTAACAATTTTAACGATTGAATAAATAACGAGTGATTGATCACAACAATACACACAAGTGATTACCAGCACTGTTTTCTTTCTGAAAAAGTTCATCTAAATTAAGTCTGTTCAGGAGTCATAAATCCACGTGGAGAGAAATAACCACACCCTACAAGTTCAAGGGGTCGTTATAACAATATAATAATATTTTTCTTTCTTAATATGAAGAATATACTTGCATACACTCATATATACATCAGTACAAACAATTAAATAGACATACAAACATACCGCATACATACAAACATACCTGCATTGGCACATAAAAAATTATCTTATTTACATGAATGCATACATACTAGAGGTGAGCCGGAGTTGAAATTTGTCCCCAATTCCCTCTCCTTTTATTTCTCATCCCCGATTCCCTCTCGAATTCACATTTATGACAACGTTTTCTAAAATTTTCAAAATATTTGAACACAAAAACCCAAATTTTCTTAAAAATGCAGATTTACAAACAAGTCTTCATAACAATTCTCGCGCGCATCTCATGGTAGCCACGCGACTCCCGTTCCCATGCTCACCTCTAGTTTTGAGATTTGCTCTGAACCTTGTAAGTGATTGAGAAGTAGTCGAAGAAGGAGGTATAGACTTCCAGAGAAAAAGGCCAGAAAAAGATTTAGCAAAAGAGTGTTCAACACGAGTTAACAAGAAGTGAAAACAAGACGACGTTTTGAATTCAAGTTAACTAATTAAGGTAAGATTTTTTAGTGCTCACAAAACAAGTGAAAAATTATATATTGAAAAAAAAAAGAAAAAGAAAGAGAAAGAGAGTGAGAGACAGAGGATAGATGAAGTGAGAGACAGGCGCAAGGAAATAGACGGAGAAATTTTATACGAGTTAATACATTTATTTTTTCCGTCATGTTGATACCGTGGCTTTTGTTTTTAAAACTGTAAAATATTTATTGTTAAAATATTTGTACAATGAAAAAATATTTTTTCAAAAATTTCAGTTGACGTTGAGCAGGTTCACTTGGTTCGTTTCGTGGATATTTCCACGTGTAACAGGTAAAAGGAGGAGCACTTGGAAGAGTTAATGTGAGTAATTTCATCATTATCACCACTGTAAAATTGGCAAATTTCATCATCCTCCTAATCATCATTCGATATTATAATTTTGCATAAGCCAGTTTTTTGCTGGTATAAGCTGTTAAGGCGCCCTCTTAATTTCTCAGTTTTAATGGCTTTAAAGTTCATTCTTTTTTAGTACACTTGCTTCGGGATCAATTCACACACACACAAATACTAACACATACACATCTAAACACACACAACGTACGTGACTAACCTCAAACTTAAATGTACCACCTATTGCGTGGGATAGATGGAAATCTATTTGAATTTGAACCAGAACACTAAAAATCAGGACCAGGTGCTTTCAACCATTTTGCCTGGAAAATTAGCTTTATTCAACATCTTATGTTAATTATTTTAATGACACAACTGTAACATATCTTATTTTTTCGTAATAACCATCATAACCTTTAAACAGAATCAACGTTATCCATCCGTTAATTTTTCGGATATATTTTTTCGTTCTTTGGCTTAATTGGGTGAAGTCGGTGGACTCCAAGTGCTACTCACAAAACTCACAAGAAATAGTTTTCAGTAATATCTAGGGATGCACCGAAGTTCGGCCTCGGCTCCGACTCCGGCCCCGACTAAAATCCGGCTTTTTTTTAAATCTGGCCGAATCCGGCTCCGGCCGGATTTGGTGGCCGGATTTAGGGCCGGATATGAGCGTCTATCAATATTTTGAAATGTTATAAATAGAAAAAATTTTTTTATTGAATTCAATTAATTTTATGTCGATAACTTAAAGGCTAAGCATACATGACACATAATAGCAACATCACTAATTGTTAGGTGAGCTGGACAATTTTCTTTATGCTATAACATGGGTTATGCAAAAATTATGAGCTGATTTTTGTGTAAAAGAATTTGTACACGTGTATATTATGTATAAGACGGATCATATAGCAACATAATATATATATATATATATATATATATATATATATATATATAGAGAGAGAGAGAGAGAGAGAGAGAGAGAGAGATACATAATTAATAACCGAGATACATAAGCGCATAATTTAAGAACAAGGTTAGGCTAGGTATACATGACACATAATAACAACATCACTAATTGTGCGGTGAGCTGGACTATTTTCTTTGTGCTTTAACATTGGTTATGCAAATATGCATGAATTATAAGCTGATCTTTGTGTACAGAATTTGGCGAATTACACAGCTTATTCATATATTTGAATTAATTAATTATTTGCTTGGGGTTATTTTTTTATGTTCAACATGTAGATAACCGTAAATTTGAGCATTTTTTCTAACGTATGTTGAATGGTAACTAAAATCCGGCCCGGCCGTTTTTGAATTTTAAATCGAGCCAAGTCCGGCCAAGGCCGGATTTGAAAAACCTGAATCCGGTACATCCCTAGTAATATCAGATAGTTAAAAAAGCAGTTTTTTTTATCTCTCTCGTTATCATTCTATTTCGATCCATTCTTCCAATCCCTTCATGTTTGCCTGTTTCTATCGTACTATAAAAAAAAAACAAGAAACACAAAGAGGGCTGGGTAGTGTAGAGAAATAAAGAAGAAAACAATGAGAGAGGGAGAGAGAGAGAGAGAGAGAGAGAGACGGAATGAAAAACTTTTCCATATAAATCTTAGTTTCATTTTTCATTTTGTTGTCTTGCATGTTGTTTTTCTGCCATTGTTTTTGATTCTGAGAAAGATTTAATGTTAAAATATTTGTTTAGCAAAAAATTAGTTTTTCACAAATTTTAAATTTCTGTGACGTGGTGAATAAATAGAAAAAGTTCACTTGGTTTGTTACGGATAGTTATTATGATATTAAGTTAATATCATAACAATAATAATGACATTAATATTTATTAACATTATTATAATGTGTTCAAGTCAGTTAAAGTTCAATTTTTCATCATAATACATGTAGCTGCCTCCTGTCTTTTCATCATCGTTGTTGTCACTAATTTGCTCAAAATAGTTTATGCAATTACGTTTACTTCAGTTCCACCGAGTGGCAATTCAGGGTGGATTCAGTGGGGATGCGGGGCTGCCACCTTTAACCAACCATCTCAGAAGGAAATATTAAAGATTCTATGTAAAATATGACAATAAAGTAGACGAGTTTAAATTACCTGCGGTTCCATTGTATTTTGCGATGTTCGGAACGTAGTAAGTATCTGGCGAGCCAACACTGAGTGAATCATAAGCAGCACATGCCACGTGCCCTTCAAAATCCTCCAACACAAACAACACTTTGTACTTTTTCTTGGACGTTATGCGCTGGAAGTTGTCATTTTCTGGTTGAAATTTTTTATGCCTGATTTAATGAAACTAACCGATCCAAAATCCTTTCTTCGGGTTACCAAACCCTCTTTCATAATCAGTCCAGTTTCTGTAAAAGTTCTCCGAGCCGTTCATGCGTCGCTGCATAACATGGATTGAGTGCCAGATATACACAATGACTGAATTGATTGGAGTCAAAAACAGAAACAGACGTTGGTAATTCCAATGAACTTGTAATTAAATTATTTGCGATTTGGCGTAACGTAATGTAGCGAGGAAAATGGAGGCAGGCATATGCCTCTATGCACATACCATCTGCCTACGGGATGTTTATCAATAACTTCTGTTCCAGATACCAGTAATGTTTTCTTTATAGTTGTAATAGACAGGCTGATTATTACAAAATCTATCGGATGTTTTTTAAACGTACGGAGAGAGACGGATCATTAGGTATTGCAATTGCAGTTCATAATAATCATTTGCAATGTTTTGATGCGTGGTTTGCACGCGTATTCATATACGCGGTGTGTTTTTGTGTTGAAACCTCTGAAGCAAGTGCACATGAAAGATTGACCTTCAACCTTTTTATACATTGTGAGTGCCATATTAATTTTTATATAATAAAATTTTTTTTTTATTTCCAGAATTTTATTCGAAAAGGAACAGGGTATCATATATACGAAAGCATGTGCTGACCACCTTAACTAGTTGTGCAACAATATGAGGTACAAATATAAACATTTTTAGTATATCGATAAATATAAATACACCCAATAAATCCATTTTTATAACTTAAAGTAAGGAGGTTAAATATTCAATCAGATGTAAAACAATTAAATAAAACACGACAAAATTAAACAAAAAAAGCATCATACCTACATTGATCTGCATAAGTTTTCTATATATTTTTTAAATTCATTATATCCGAAAAATTTTTCTTACCTAGTTTCAAGGAATTCCAAAGACGAACTCCTCTTACCGCCCAGTATCTAGCATTTAAATCAGTTCTGCAAGTCATAGATATCAACAAACCTTTTTGCATAGTGTTTGTTGACACCGTTTCAAATGAGCCTAACATGTTGAACTCAGCATCATATAACACTCTATAAACGAAACACAAGGTTAGATACCTATTAAGCTGTTCAATACTGAGGATACTATTATCGGGATATATTGCCAGTGTATGATCAGAAAAAAAAACAAACCCTAAGGTATCTTTTTTGTACTATTGTCAATGATTTTATTAAATAATCATAAGAAGCTCCCCAAAAAACATTTCCATATAGGAGATATGGATAGATTAGGGAGTAATATAGCATTAACATGATTTTAGTACCTAATTTATTGCGTGATCTATAAATAATGCCAGTAATTTTATATAATTTGCTTACCAACGAATTTATATGTTCATTCCATTTCAAGTCAGACTGGATAATAAACATTATATATATATATATATAATATATATATATATATAATATATATATATATATATATATATATATATATATATATATATTCGACCGAGCATCTTAACATCCATATTAGCTGTGATACATTACAATTACTTGTTTTATTTTTATTTTATTTTATTTCATTTTATTTTTTCATTTTATTTCATCTTATTCCATTATATTTTTTCATAAATAGTCTATAATCCAATTTAATCTAATTTAGTTGTTTCATTCACGGATTCGTTTATTAAAATTTCTTATATATCATTATAAACTTAATAATTAATTTTGACAATTTTCCATATTCTTTCCACACATGTCTTCTTTTCACATTCAACTAACTTAATTACGTTTTATTTACATCATCCGATGTTAACAAATTTTCACCGAACTAAACTTCAGTATTAATTTATTTGTTTTAATATTTAATTTAATACTATTTTACTAACTTTTTATATACATTTATATTTTTAACCATAAATTTAATTTGTACATGTTTTGCATTGTTTTAACTAACAACGGTTTCTCGTTATTTTCTTAATAATTTTATTACACATACAATTAATATGCATTATAATTTTATAAAAATATTTCACGCTATTCTTATTTTCATAGGCTCTGAAGATGGACTTCCCGAAACAGCGCTGTTAACCTTTCCATGTCTATTGTTTTAAATAAATACGAGTTTAATAAATTCAGACTTGTTGAGTGTTCATTAAAGAAAGTCATTAATGCAAAATGGGCATATATCTTTAATAATGTTTGTATTAAAGAAAACCTCGTTTCGAAATATATATATATATATTTTTACAATATTCTATAAATTCTACCGAATATTTGGCGTTGATATGTTTGTAGTTACGATGGAGCCTCAGTTATGGGAGGTACACACTCCGATGTCCAAGCCCGAATCAAGAAAAATAAATAAGCAATTTATGTGCAACATCATGAACATCTTCTGAATTTGATTCTAGTACAGACTATTAGAAGTATCAGCGAAGATAACATATGATAAATAAATAGATTGTTTCTACACTTTCCTCATCGTTATTCATTTTGTACTTGTTAATATTTCAATTATTTGACATTTTAAAAATTGTAAAATACATTGAGATTATCTGCAAAAATTGTATGAAAAAATTGATTAAATTCTAGCTGATCGATTTGAAAGTTTTTTTGTTTAAATATTTCATAAATTAAATCATACTTCCTAAGGCATTTATTTGAAAAGTTATATTTGCACATGGTAAATAATCAAAGTTGTTTGTACATTCTTGGTTAGAACGAAACCAACTAGCTACGCGGAACAAACTGTTTCGCGTGTGTGACGTGAAGCAAGTCTTAGCAAAGTAATTCTATGAACGAAAGAGTTGAAAAGTTTTTCTCGTTTTTCAAAAATTTTATTTCAACCAAATCGAAATATATTGAAAAATTGAAATGTTCAAGATGAACAATACGCTTTGTAAAATATAAAATATCGACTCAATCATGAAATACCATTGAAAAAGTTTAACAAGAGAATATCAACGCAGCTATAGAAAGTAATAAAGAAATGTTAAACCAGCTTGAGAGCACTGATGCTTTTCGTGGCGAATTGAACAAATGAGATTGTTTGGCTCTCCTATAATTTGATACTTCTTGTCAACTGCTGTTGCAAGCGAATAGATTGGTAATATTGGTAACAATGAAGTGATTGTCGTAACAACAACAATTCAGCACGATTTTAATATCATTCTGGTTAGTCAAATTTTTGCCTGCGCTAATGCAATGAAGGTGTGTGGATTTTTGCATAGCAAACACTTCCTTAATTAAAACTTTGTTGAGATATTCCAAAAAAGTTTCTGAGAGTGTTTCTGTTTCTTGAGTTCCGATAAGTTCTATTCCGATAATGTTGTTCAAGTTTTCAATTGAAAATCTGAATCAATCACAAATAATTTGCTTATAAAAAGTAATTTAATTCGAATATACTCGAATTCGTAATTTGTATTAATACGACGATGAATTGTTTTTAAAATTAAAATTGTATTAGCTTCTGTTCAGTTTGCGTTAACTTCACTTAAATTTACTGTTTAGTACGACTGAAAAATGTTCAAAACAAAAATACATCATTGAAACCATTCTATTAACTTCATTGCCATGCCTGTGTTGGTTTATGATTCTTACCAAGCATATACAAAATTTCGTGTGCCAACATTTTAATTAGTTTAATTACGATATCGATGATGATTAGGGCAGTGCAAAAACATCGAAACACTGTGGCAACTGTATATATAAATTGGCACGTATGTTGATATTATTTCATCACAACCATCTTTCCGCCACATTCTTCTTCTTCAATTCAACGGACTTCAAATTAACTGAAGCCAGAGTAATAACTGTAATAATAATAATCGCAATTATTAATTATTCTTAATTATAATAATAATAAATATTAATAATTCTAAAAGCACGCCTGAGTAGGAAGATGGAAGACGGCAGTTGTGATGGAGGAGTGTGGTTGATGAGAGGAGAGAGAAGGCATCCAGGTGGACCGAGTAGTATTATTTCCACTTGGTCGTTCAGAGGCATGTTGTATGAGGGCCTGATGAAGGTTGGTGACCGCTGCTTCTACAGATGATGACCCTGGTTCAGGTTTTGGGGCAACTGTCCTGGTTCACGCTGTATTCGAACCACGTCAGCACGCGCATGTTAACAGTTTTTCATCACAATTCCAACAAGTCTTACTTTAAAATTCTGTTGTTTCAATTGGCCAAATACTCATGGCCACTAATTTTTTTAAAAGAATCAAACTCTGACAGATGCAGTAACTGGCTCGTACATCACCCTCAAAAATGATCCATTGATACTAACATCGCTGACCACCATACCGCATGGTATGAAGGTTTCACTACAATTAATTTCATCTGCCGATCAATAATTATCAGGTTATTCTCGAATTTTTTAAAAATTGTTTCTTTACACAAAAATAAATTCATGTGAACTTCATGCAAGCAAGCTATGTTAAACCTCTAAAAGGCAATTTACGTTATAATAATTTATAAGTGAAAATGATGAATGGAAAAATCAGGATGAGCATGATTTAAGCGAGAACCATTACGTTATCTTACAAATAAAATTCAGCGAGCTTTTAAAAATAATTCAGGATAATTTGTGAAATTTTGTTTGTAAATTTCAACAAGGTCATACATTAATTGCAATCACTTTAGACGTTTGTTCAACGTCTCCAACATGAATTCCTCATCATCAATCAACTTCTGACACACGCGTCGATTTTCTAAGATAAATATTTCATTTATTCCGACCAGTATATCAACATTCGGTTGGAAGAAGCAAGGCAGATTGCGATTCTTCAGACATGTCACTAATTCCTTCCTGCAACAAATCTATCAACCTCAAACCTAAATATTTCTCTGACCAAAGTTCATCGTTTGAAAATTTATGGCATACTTTCAAAAAAACATTTTTCATTTGATAAGATGAAAATAGGTAGAAATGTAAGTAGTGATCAATTATAGCCGTAATATATTTGAAAACTCTCATGAGATTTTTTTTCTCAGGAATGATCCGTAATATTTCGTTCTTTTCTAAAATGCTGAAAGATCTTCTCCAGGAATAGCCACGTTGGAAAAACATGTGGTCAAATTTATCAGAGCATTTCGGAACGTAGTATTCCTCATTGTTCATTTTCAATGTAGAAACGATATCTATCGAGAATTTCAAAGCAGCATCCTCCTTCTTTTTTTTCTGAAAATGTAAAGTTTCACTGTTCATTGTTTGAATTTGTATTTAAATTGATATTATTAAAAAGACCCGTGTTACCGCCCATCAAGACAAAAGTGGAAACATTGGACAAACATTTAATTGCACTGCACAACAAAATGTACGTCTATACCCCCAAGGCACCTTCAATTCAGCCACCAATCTAATCACCAATTCCATTAGATAGTTGCACGTTGTTAACTTAATTTCATTATTTCAACTCAGTTTTAATTAATCCTTTATTTTCCCTCTTTTTATTTTTCTAATGACGTTTCTTCAGCACGACAATTTCATTCTAATTTCTTATTTTTTTATCATTTTTTATTTACATATTTAATTTTAATAATTATCTATTTCCCTTTTATTTTCTTATTATTTATGCATTTTATCGCACGTTCCACATTTTCTGCCTCTTACAGATAAAGAATATTAAAGCATAAAAAATTAACCGGTATTGCGCCATCCATTTGAATTCCTGGATCATGATCTATAAGCTCTGTAGTTGCGTTCCAATGCTTTCGTCCATATTTTCTGCAGCACATTTCAATCTTTCCTCTAAAGAACTCCAGCAGAGAGGGTGGACCTAGGTAACGATTATTATGATCATCCTCGTCAGCAATTGATTGCATCGGTATGTTTGTTCCAGGTTTTAACACCATGAAACAGCGGTTGGCAATAGGAGATGGTACTTTCTAATTGTATTTAGTAATTTGAAAAACTCAAGTTAAGAAATGAAAGCAAATGAAAATTATTTTACTAACCTAAAAATAAAATGGGCAACTAAATTATGAATTTGTTGTAGAATGCAGTTGTCTTGTAACCTCAATGATTTCTCCCACGTCCCAGACAAGCATGACATCCAATTCTATGGGATGCTGTTCGAATGGACGTACATTCACATTTAAACCTTCGGAAGTACTTCCGACGAATTCCGGAGTAACAAAAATGGAATCTGTTTTTAGTTCTTCAACAATGTCTCCTATAATGTGGTGAATTATATCTCTGGCTTCTTTCATTCGATCTGGCGGAATGGTGCATTCAGATGCACAATTCTTAATCGCAGTTATGAAGCGCGAGCTTTCATGCCAGCTTTTGTAGACTGAAATGTCAATCACTTTATTTATTAATATTCACATGTACAGTTACAAAATTGATGAAAGTAATAACTTTATAAAAAAACATTAACATAAGTCTGTAAAATCATTCTAAAACATTTGAAAAATATTTATTTCTGTCATTACCATATAAATCATTGTTAATACAACTTACTGCTCTTGGTATCCACCATAATATCCTTTTTCTTAACTGAACTCTGAAATTTGCATCGTTGATGTTTGGGCATTGCATTATTCACTCTTTCATACATCCAATTGATATCCGGCTTCAGACAACAAGGGTTGTAACAATTTTTAAGATACGTTAATAATTCCTTCAAAAAATCTAGCAATCTGGAACCAAAATAATTGATCAAACATTCATCATCAGCATGAAATTTGGAATATACTCTAGGAAGATTTTTTTTCACATAATGAAAGGCCATTTCAAATAAAATCGGATGTTTGATTTTAATATTATCGAAATCTGAAAAAAGTTGAGAGTAATTTAAAATCTTCCTCTCATCCATATGCTTGTAAATTTGAGTTTCCCTCCACGCTAGGTAGCTCCTGAGATTTAAAACGCCACTTCTCCTCCAGCTTAGAAAATCCATGATATCATCATTAAATCTTAACCTCCACGCTAGATTTCGTTCGATCATCCCTAGGTTGGGATAACAGATATAACGATCATAGAAATTTAAAGCGAGATAAATATTTACTGAGAACTTCCAATCTGTTTCATTCTTTATAATTAATATATTTACTTATTTATTAAATTTTCCAAATAAATTGATGTTATAAAGATTGAACCACCATTTTGACATCCATTTGAACGACTGAACCGTTATATCTGATTTTCGTTTTTCTGTAACAGAGCGTTCGTTCATATAAACCAACATAATTTCCAATCTTTTTCATAAAATTCTAATAAGGAAAATTGAATAAATGAACTTTAAATTGACTAATGCTAAAAATTCGTTAAAATTCATACAATACTGCATAAAATATGGTCTCCTTCCAATTTAATTAATTATATATATCAAATCAAATCAAATATCAAATATTGTGTTTATATAGCGCCAATTATAATTGCTTCTCATCAGCGCTCTCCTCGTATGAAGCATGTTGAAAGCGAAGCCATCATCGGTTGAGATCACTAATAGTTACCAGATACATACAAACTCAGGCGTGGCGTAGACCAAACATCTTTAAGGCGAGATCTACTAAGTATTAAAGTACGAGCCTGAAGTACCCAAGCGAATCATAACTAATGTCCACTTCAAGATCCACTTCAGATTTTATAATATATAGTGTAGTAAAAGCACTTGAATTGAGATAAACGAACTATATGTATATATATTGGATTCGGATATGAGTGCAGATACGAATGGAAAACAATTTTTCTTATTTGTTTTAGTTGAGCCAGTTAAATGTTAGTGTTATTACTTTGAAATTAATGTTGTGAATTTGTTTGATCAACGTTATAGCTGTGATTTGCGTTGAATGCATTGCGTTATGTTGGTTGCTTTATTTAGCGTTATATAGTCATAAATGAACGTTAAAAATTTGAGTTATTAACATTTTAGACATTGGCTACTTTCAATATTATATAACTTTGTGTTTGGCTGTTCAGTTTCAAGACTAAGTGAAATTTGAAAATCAATCAGTCTTGTTGTTTTTTATATACAATTTGAGAGAGAAACCTGACAATTATATATTATTTTATCGATTATTTATGATGATTATTTTATATATTTATCAATATTGTTTATAAAATAAAATATTTCAAATTCTAACACGCTCTAAAAGTTTTGATGAAATTTAATTTTAGTCTGTTTTAGTTAATAATGTTTTAAATGCATTTTAAATTTTATTAGAAATCAGATTTGATAACTAATTTATTAATTTAATTTAATTGATAATAATAATAAATATTAATAATTCTAAAAGCACGCCTGAGTAGGAAGATGGAAGACGGCAGTTGTGATGGAGGAGTGTGGTTGATGAGAGGAGAGAGAAGGCATCCAGGTGGACCGAGTAGTATTATTTCCACTTGGTCGTTCAGAGGCACGTTGTATGAGGGCCTGAAGAAGGTTGGTGACCGCTGCTTCTACAGATGATGACCCTGGTTCAGGTTTTGGGGCAACTGTCCTGGTTCACGCCGTATTCGAACCACGTCAGCACGCGCATGTTAACAGTTTTTCATCACAATTCCAACAAGTCTTACTTTAAAATTCTGTTGTTTCAATTGGCCAAATACTCATGGCCACTAATTTTTTTAAAAGAATCAAACTCTGACAGACGCAGTAACTGGCTCGTACATCACCCTCAAAAATGATCCATTGATACTAACATCGCTGACCACCATACCGCATGGTATGAAGGTTTCACTACAATTAATTTCATCTGCCGATCAATAATTATCAGGTTATTCTCGAATTTTTTATAAATTGTTTCTTTACACTAAAATAAATGCATGTGAACTTCATGCAAGCAAGCTATGTTAAACATCTAAAAGGCAATTTACGTTATAATAATTTATAAGTCAAAATGATGAATGGAAAAATTACGATGAGCATGATTTAAGCGAGAACCATTACGTTATCTTACAAATAAAATTCAGCGAGCTTTTAAAAATAATTCAGGATAATTTGTGAAATTTTGTTTGTAAATTTCAACAAGCTCATACATTAATTGCAATCACTCTAGACGTTTGTTCAACGTCTCCAACATGAATTCTTCATCATCAGTCAACTTCTGACACACGCGTCGATTTTCTAAGATAAATATTTCATTTATTCCGACCAGTATATCAACATTCGGTTGGAAGAAGCAAGGCAGATTGCGATTCTTCAAACATGTCAATAATTCCTGCAACAAATCTATCAACCTCAAACCTAAATATTTCTCTGACCAAAGTTCATCGTTTGAAAATTTATGGCATACTTTCAAAAAAATATTTTTCAAATAATAAGATGGTAAATAACTTTTAAACAAAATAAATTTGAAAACCCTCATAAGATTTTTTTTTTCAGGAATGAACTCTAATATTTCGCTCCTTTCTTCAATGCTGAAAGATCTTACCCAAGAATAGTGAGGTCGGATTAACACGGGGTCATCATTAAAAATATCAGTGGGTTTCGGAACGTAAATTTCATCATTGTTCACTTTCAACGTAAGAACGATATCTATAAGGAATTTAAAATCTGGATCGTCCTCTGTTTTCTTTTGGAAATGTAAAATTTCATTGTTCATTTGTTTGAATTTGTATATAAACTGATATTATTAAAAAGACCCGTATTACTGCCCATCAAGACACATGTACAAAATATGGGACAGAAATTTCAAAAAATTAAAAAATAACCGGTATTGCGACAACCATTAGAATGCATGGACCATGATCAACGAGCGTTGGTTCATATTTTCTGCAGCACATTTCAATCTTTTCATTAAAGAACTCCAGCAGAGAGAATGGACGTAAGTAACGATTATTATGATCATCCTCGTCAGTAATAGATTGCATCGGTATGTTTGTTCCAGGTTTTACCATCATGAAACAGCGGTTGGCAATAGGAGATGGTACTTTCTTATTGTATTTAATAATTTGAAAAACTCAAGTTAAAAATAGAAATTATTTTAGAAAACTTAAAATAAAATGATTAAATTAACTTATGAATTTGTAGCATAATGCAGCAGTTTTGTAACCTCAATAATTTCTCCCACGTCCCAAACAAGCATGACATCCAACTCTATGCAAGGCCCTCTGAATGAACGCACATTTAAAAAATTATTTGTGCGGTCAAATTTAAAGAGAATGAATGATTCATTTGATTCATTAACATGATTTATTGTTAAACTAAGCCACTTTCTACATGGTAACTAATTGACGGGGTTTCATTCTTCTGCGTTAGTTTCTTGAATGTCAGATGATTTATAAACAAAAACGCGAGGCAAAAAATTTCCATTAAAAAACCAGCTTGTGATTTTTTTGTGACCATTTTTAGATTTTAATATTTAAATCTCATAATTATTATTTAATTGTTAAAATGCCCACATTTGAATAAAATATTTATTTGATTATAAAATTTCAAAATTTTTTGCATGAGTTAAACGTATCTCGGACATGGCATACGAATTTAATAAAGAGAGAGAGGGAGGAAAGTAAGTAGAGAGAGAAACAGTGCAAATAGTTAATGTTAAGACACGTTAACTTAAATGCAGCTCTAACCCACCACCTAGATGAAGACCGAGTTTAGGTAGTAACGTTCCAATTTGAAGTTTTGTACAAATTTGATAGACGACAATCCGTTTATGCGATAACTTTTCATTTCATGTTATTATTATGTTTTTTATTGATAGCCAGCTATCGACCTTCTGCAACTGGCGTCTGTCGCTGAACCTCCTCCCCATGCCCATAATTTAAAAAATTTTTTTTTAAACTTAACGACTTAAAAAATTTAAAACAAATTTGTGATTAGAAGTCCTCAAATTGGATAATTTTCTAACCTCAACATATTTGTTTATGCGCATGATAAGCACAATGTCAAACTCAATGTTGGCCTCTCCATCTGGACTTCCATCCACTTTAAAGCCTTTTATGGCACTTTTCCTAAGTTCCGGATATACGTAAATTGAATCTTCTTCTAGTTTTTCAATAATTTCGTCAATCATGTGATAAGTTGTTTTTTTTGCTTCACCAAGTTTTTCATGTTGAGTGGAGTTTTTTTTTGCAAGCTTTTCCATAGTAGCTACGAAGAACGAACTTGTATACAAACTTTTGCAGCCTGTGAAAATTCAATAACGTTATTCAGCCCAAAAATGTAAAAAAAATGCACACATATACTGTGTTATTCTTATTCTGATTGCTAAAAACGCTATGATTGAAAAAGTATAATTCAAAATTGCCTATATTCGTGATTATTTACTTTTATACATGTATTGGTCTGTTGACAAGTTGTCAACAATTTGAAATTTTATTGAATATTTCAACACTTTTGTAATAACTTTATTGTAAATAAGAAAATTAGTATATGGAATGAATGAAAGGACTGATAGTTACTGCCATCCTTTGGAAGGTGGGAACAAGTTTGTTCTTCTTGCTTCTCAGCCATTTTCATTTTTTTTAGATTTAAAGCCTGTGTAGTTTTATTTGTTGAGGAATGTAAATTTATAAACATAGGCGTGCAATTTTAAAATATAAGTTTGTTTTAAAATTTGCTAAAAGGCAGAAATATATTTATTCAACTTAAGATAATTTTTTAGTTATTGTGTAATTTCGTTAATTTAAAAACATAAACTAAATGTTTTTTGCAATGAAAGTACGTAAAATTCAGGTAAATAATGTTAAATTTCTTATTACGTAGATCGTTTAATTAATTGATACAATATTGAAAGACATTAATAGACAAGAAATAAACTTTGCAACGTTTTTGACTTGTTTATTATCCACCGGATCAACAGTAAAGGAAAAGTGAAGTTACATACAAAGCAAAGAACATTTGGTCCAAAGAAAATAAATGTATATTATAAATCATAATGTTTTAATATAAAACATAAAACTTAACAAATAATGTTACAGCTACTATTGTTGTTGCATAAGTAACACAACAGAATTAACAAATTTATGTGTTCGTGTGTGTGTAATTTTTAATGCGCATTCCGTGGTCAGATCTGAAATATTTCATATTGCGGTAATTAATTTTAATTAAATTTTTATTACAATAAATTATTAGTGCTCATTATTTGTTGATCCGTTTGTATTTTATTAGGAGAGGATAATGAAAGCACCCTCCCTGTCAAGATTGTGTGGTTAATCTAGCTACCATTTCAATCGGCATGTCAGCCAATTCTTCTTCTTCTTTTTTTCACAGTTTTTTATTAACACTGTTGATGCCAAAATCGTTATAAATTTAGGCGACTCTAATGACATCACATGAATATTATGTTAAACAAAATATTTCAATAATTTTACAAAAATTTAATTCGTTTTGTATTTTTGAAAATATTGCCAAATGCCCTTCTGTTCGAGTTTAGAAAAAAATTGATTGATCATAGGTTGATATCTTAATTTCAAATTTATTTCTCTTTTTCACGTTACGGGTTTGTTTTTGTTTTGTTTGCACACACACTCGGTGAACAAAAACAAACATGGGGCTATGATGTGAAACTATATATATCAAACAGGCATGCACGCATTGCACGTTATTTCCAATATTTTCAACATTTTATTTATTCACTATTTTTTTGTTCAACGGTTTCTTTCCCGAACGCTGTAGTTGTATCATAGTTGAAAAACCGTGCACACACATGCAATGTATTTGCAGCATAAATTCGAAAAGTAAGTTTATTTTGAATTTTAATAAACTAAACGTTCACCAAAAAACTTTAGAGAGAAAAATCGAAAAAACGAACTACAAACATATTAACGCCAAACATTCGGTAGAATTTATAAAATATTGTAAAAATACATGCAATGCTATACGATGCTATAAATAGAGCTATAATCTGATTCTGAAGCACTATGATAAAGAAGAGTATAATTAAAAGTTGCCTAAATGAACGACTGACAATTAATTTCATTTGTGCATGTAGTATCGGTCCGTTGACATTGTCAACAATTTGTAATCTTATCAAACATTTCAACACTATCATATAAAATTATAAATTGTAAAATATATGTGTAAATTTATTTGAAATTATTAAATAATGTAAACAAATTTATATTCAACATTATTTTGATCAAATCAAGTTAAATGAATGACAGACAATTACTGCGATCCTCTGGAAGAGGAAAACAAAAATATAAAATAAAATTTATATTAAACGTTCTACAAAGAAAGACAAGACAACAAACTACTCTTATATACAGTTAAACTATATATAAAAGTAGTATATAATAATAAGAGACAATAGTATTTATTTTTAATCTGTTTATACATTTGATGACTAATACAAAGCGTTTTTGTGATAGTAATATTTTGTATATAGTGTATATAAATATATATTATATACATGTATATATATATATATATATATATATATATATTCATATGTATATCTATATGTGTATGTATTGTTTATATATAATAGTAATAACTATCCAAATTAAAATAACAAAGTAGGTACTATATTTACTATACCACAGGTTTTTCCAACCTTTCAATTTTGAACCAGCTTCGAATTTAAGCAGATGTCCAATTTTTTTTCAATCAAAACCGTTTTGAGTAAAGTTTTTTTGATTTATCTTTTATTTTTTCATTATTACCTTTTTTATTAATTATTATAACATTAACTTATGTATTATTTATAAATAATAATTAATTACTAACATTAAATTACCTAATCATAAATATTATTATTTATCCCATATATACATATGTTTATTGTCATTACCATATAGGTTAATTTTAAAATTGACACTAATAAAAAGTTGAATATAAAAAAATTTCCGTCATTAAATTACAATTTGAATGGCCCACAAATTGATGAAAATATTTCCATTGGCTACATAAGATTTGAACTATACAACTTGAAGCTGGCCTAGAGTTGTAAGAGTTGTGCTGTGTTGAAACAATGTATAAAGATAAATTATATAAAAATAATTCATTAAAAAATTTAAAATCTTTCGTTCATAGAACTCCATTTTTATCACATGCGGTAGCTAGATTTTGCAACTGACCTCTCATTTGTTGAATTTCTTCACCAGATCGACGTGGCGTTTCTATGATGCGAATCTCATACTCATCTGATATATCAGTTAGTGATGTTGAAACCAGATGTTGAAACTATCATTTGGGTAGACGAAGTACTTGGACTACAGACGGATTTTTTCATAAAATCATCATGATTTCGTTTCCTTGCATTGAAAAAATAAAAAATATTTTCTTGTTAGAAGTACAAATACGAATTTTTTAATGAAATACCTTCATGGTGCGCCCCTCAAGATAAAGTCGCAGAGTTTTAATTTTTTTATAAAAATGATGCTTTCCCATAAGGTTATCGATTTACGATACAGGAAATTAAAAAAAATAAGAAAAATGTTTTTTTACCAAATTAACTCCACCCGTTTCAGGACGTTTCAGATGTAATTCTAATAACCTTATTACACCGTTGTTCAGACCAGTATTTGCATTAGTTCCATCAGCACCAATAGCAAGTACATTACGTAGTGATTTTTCGTTATCTTTAAAAAAGTTTACAATTGCAGTTTTGATAGATATAGATGATCCAGTTGAAGGAGAAACGTGAACTAGGTAAACCGTATTTGACTCTATAAGTAACGTAATATGTTCTTCAACAAAAAAATTTTTGCTACAAATTAAGGACGTACAAAGAGTTTTGTCTTTTCTTCCATCAAAGAAAATTGACTTTGGACCTGCAGCAGCTAGAGTTACTTTTGCTTCATACGTTAATATGACTCGAAGCCTGCGCCTTTGTCGTCACAGCTTTGAGCGGTCAATAAGCTGTCTTGTCGTTTTTTTTTATAACTCCATAGTCTGTGATGACAGCTGTAGCTATAGCAGCTCGTGCAACATCAGATACGCCATACCTATCGCATTCTCTCGCCACTGTAGGAAACTGGAGCTTATTTCTAAAACATTCTGCGTGAGAAGCCTTGGACTCTTCACAAACTTTTTGTTTTTAAATTTCTTTTAATACACGTTTTAAATCAATCACGTAACTTTATATAAAAAAAACCGTTTTATTTCATTTGATGAGCAAGAGCTTCGACCATTTTGAACATGCGTCACAACTACAAGAATTGGAAGCCCAGTTATTCCTAATTTTAGTAATGGCAGTTGTTTATAACTATTTCCAAAATTATTATTATCTAGAGCATCTCGATAACGGTGTTCATTATTTCAACTGAATTAAAAAATTAATATTGCCGTGAACGAGAAAATTTATGTCCTTGAAATTATTAATTTTCTTCATATTAATCCATAAAATAATATGCGTCGTTACTAATTCGCTGTATTTTTATAATTTGTAAAATGACTAGTAATAATAAAAATAATTACTGTAATCATTAATTATAAATTAAAATTAATTTATCTACTAATAATTATTTACATTGTATAAAAAGCACAATATTAGCTAAAAATGCCAATCTTGCTCCATCTGGCGGCCAAGGAAGATGAGTCTTGATATGCGCGTGTATATGTGTTTGTATGTGTATGTGTGAGCGTGTGTGTGTGCGGTGTGTGTGTTAAAATCGTGTTTTTTATTCATTCGATGATGATATCAAGACATGGTTTTTCACAATTAATCTCGACTTTATTTTTCTAATCAGGTCTAGAAAACAAAATTACAATGCATTATTTCACGATTTCAAAAAAGAAAAAAAGGATAAAATAGAAAAATTAACGAGTAAACAAAATGTGACTTTCTCACTGCATCGGAGTGGTAATGAAAAATTAAAAATCATTATATAATAATAAAAGTAAAATAAACCACATCAGCCCAGTACCAAACATTAACGTGTTACAATGATTCAATCCCCTTAAGAAGTTCATAAATACCCCATTCAATAGCGGCCCCATTGTAGTAAATAGCAAATTCATGACAGTCCTGTACTTCATGGAAATATTTCGCAATGTGTGGTTGCCTTTTTTCGAAATTCTCAATTTCCTTTTTCAAATAGTCGGCGTGTTCTCTTTCAATATGGCGGAGTGTTTTTATGTCCTCGCTCATGCGGCTATTTTGACTCTCAGCATCATCCGAGGACTCATCCAATTGGGATTTACAGGGGGAACTGTTGAGAAAATTGGTAACTTTTGTGCGATGTGTATCGTATGGACTGCCATCCTCATCACGTTTTCTTTTTTCGCCTCGATGTTTTTCATTTTTTGTCACTTCATATGGAACTGGCTGTTTATAGGAAGTCCTTTGGTAGTAATTAGATGATTGATTGTTATAGGATTGTTCGTTTCTACCTTTTGCCATATAATTTTCTTGAGAGCGTTTTCTTTTTGTTCCTTGTTTGTAGGAAGTCCTTTGGTAAAAATTAGAAGATTTTTCGTCTCGTGAATATGTCGCATATTTTCCCCGAGAATCATGTCGATTTCTATTTGCAGATGAATAGTAATAATCGGCCCGGTCGTCTTCTCTGTGACGTTCACTGGGTCGAGATTGATAACAATGAACTTTTCTTTTCGTTGTTCGAAACCTGGATTTTCTTCCTTCATAATCAAAGTCACGGCAGTCATAGTAAGGAGATCTTGATCGTCTTCGGCTGTATTCATCGTCGCTAGAAGAGGAATCGTAACGAGATTGTCTTCGATTCTTCGATCTGGATCTTCTTCCTTCATAGCTATTGTTATATCTGGCGCTGTCAGAATACATGATGGGCTGTATTATGTTGAATAATGTTTGTCAATATTGAAAATCACTGTTCCAATCTGTAGGCTACTAAGAGATTATTTAAGCTACGATGTTCGTCGATGTTAAAAATTTATAGCAAAATTTATAGGTTACAATGATAATTCTCAGTTACGCAAGGGTGAATAAAATTTAAACTTCTCAAAAACCATCTTCAATCTCTTCTTATATACCTTTCTGGTTCAAGATAAATAAAGAGCTTTTTGTTGAATTATAAATTTTGATGTCACACAAAGTTAAATTTGTGTGACACTTTGTTTGACACGCAAAGTTTATTGGGCTCGATATCTTTTGATGATTAATTAGTGAGAATACATAATTGTATCAATATTAACGAGATTGCCTAATTATACAAAAATTCACGATCTAATTTTTATCACTTTAATGTTTTATCTGATAATAAAGTTAGTAAGTTTCTTTTAAAGTGAACTAAAAAAGTAATTAATCATCTGATAGTGAAATCTACACAATTCATTCTAAAGTAAATTAAAGATTCATTAATTCACGAGTCTTCATTGATCATGACGGAGAAACTCAACTAATTAAATTTTGCAATTAACCAATTAAAACCATAAATCGAGTCGTAAAATTAATGCACTAAAGTTTGTTAGAATAATAAACGTAAAGTACCTTGTAATTGGTCTAGTTAGAATCAGTTCCATTGTTTTTATTTAAAATTCACTAAAAAATGATCTGTTGATCAACTAGTTTGTTATTTGTCATTATCAGCCGATGTCAGAAGATAATGGGATTGTCCCTATAGAAATTGCTTATTTCAGTTTGTCTGCGACCAACAGTTACATAACCAACATGAGTATTTTTTCTTGTATAATTTATTACAATAATAGTTTTATTAAATCTTTTTGAAAAAGATTTGTGAAACATTGACTATTGAAATCTGTGTTTAGGTAATTGTCCAAGTTCTCCATAAACTGCTTTAAATCGGCGATTGCTAAGCTAGAAAAGTATTCACAACAAAAACATTCTGTGTTAATAAATTCATATTTAATAGTGTTTATATAATTTGAACAAATGATAAATAAAACTAAAAGTTTGTTGGAAAATCTAAAATTATTTAAAAAACGACAATACTTTTTTAAAATATATCATGAAATCAGTGTCGGAGTAGGGGCTCGGAGTTGCTGGCAACTCTTTTCTGGTGACGCAATCAGTCGGTCGGTCGGTCGGTCAGTCAACCAGCCAACTAATTCAACAATCAATCTAACAATCAACTAACCAAACAACCAACCAACTAACCAACCAAACAATCAATCAATCAATCAAACAACAAACCAACCAACCAATCAATCAACCAACTAATCATTCATTCAATCAATCAATAATTCAATCTCTCTATCAATCAATTAAATTTATATAGCCAATTTCTAAGAATTTAACTGGGCTTAACATGAAATTTTACACGAAACACGATGTTTGACATTTATTTTCAAAGTTATCCTCATCTTCTGTGCTCTTCTCAAAAACGTAGTTGCTCAATATCGGGTCTTTTGAGTTAATTCGTAGATAGATTTCCGCAGTAGCTTGATCATCAAAAATCATGGAATGCTTACTTAGTTCATTTATGGCTGTTATTGGAAGACCTTCCTTGTTTAACAATTTGAAGTTTTCGAAGTTCAGCAATGTTAAATTTACGCGTTTTCTTGAACCTTTTAGTCATACTACATGCAATACTGCTAAATATGACATCATGCACATTTTTTTACAAGCATCTACTAAAGAAATATCCGGTTCATTAAATTTCGTTTCATATTCACCTGGTAAAATTTTTTTATCCGTTTTTCTGGTAGTGTGTTTTCAATTTCCAAATTGTAGATCACTAGATTTTCATTCATTTTTTAAAAGTTTGAGATATTTTTGACCCTTGATTAAGTTGAGTTGACTTAGAAAGTCATACAAATAGATTTGTGTCATCCCAATTTTATAGTCATCCAGTTAAACAACTGGCCCACTGTATTATTTTTGTACCGGCCCACCGGGAGAAATCCCGGTGCTCCTAATGGCCAGTCCGCCACTCAATCAATCAAATAGCTTTAGAAGCGCTATTTTCGCATTGTTCAATAGCGCTCTTCAATGAATTTTGCAAACAGATGGGTCTTGAGATCCGCTCTGATAGAGAAATAGTCGGATAAGTAGGTAGAGAGTTCCAGAAAAATGGCCAGAAAAAGCAAGGTTAGCGGATGTACGAAATAAACAGACTACGTGGTAAAGGCATGATATTATGAAAACGGGTTATTTAAACTACCGTTTAAATTGAAAAATAAAAATAAAAATAAGATATGAATTAATTTAAAGAAATAATATAATTATACAAAATGTATGTTATTAACATATAAAAACAAAGTATAATACAAGATGACCATGTCATGATAAATGAAGGATAAATAATGTAAAACAGCAATTACTTTAGAAATGTTACGTTTTAAATTTTCTCTAAATTCTTTTAAACATTTATCCAAATTTTTTTCAAAATTATTATCATTATGAGTTATTATTTGTATTATTATTAAATTAGTTTTATAATTTTGTTAAAAACTTTATTTATAAGTAAAAGAGTATGCCAATATGTAGACTGGTTGTTAGTCATCCTTAAAGCATGGTTCACATGCAGGGGTGTTTCTGCATACTTTTTTTACTTCTAAGATATTCAATGAAATTTTTCTAAACATTCAAGTTCTCGGATTTTGAAGAGTCCCCATGGGTTCCCGTTACCACCGAAAACAAAATAAAATACTGCATACACTTGGCAAGGTTGAACAACAATGAATAAAACGAGGCAAGGTTGAACAACAATAAATAAAACGAACACTAAAAATTATGAGACAATGCAACTATGAGAATAAGTTTATAATTTAGGTTAAAAATTTTAATATATACATTAAAGTTGAAGTGACAAGCTATAACCTCAACAATCCAATTTTTGCCCCCCCCATCAAAGTTGTATGGACCCGCCTTTGTGCGCCCCTGCTTCTATTCTAACTTATTCCAGTTGATTGTTAAGTGTAGAAACCTCGCACATGTTGGATGTTGCACATATATCTTGCCGGGAAAGCATGGATGATGGTGATATGAATAATTGCTAGGAATAGTTACAAAAGGATTGTAAGCTATAAGATAGGAACTTATTTCCATGACAGATAAAAAATCATGCATATAATATTTGAAAGAATTTGAAACTTCAAAGAAAAAATAATTGTAAGAAACATTGTATGGATCATTATAAACATGCTATTAAGCGTTACGCTTCATCATCATCCGGCAGTAAGTGATGGTAGGAGAATGTACGTAATAAAAATAATATGAACCATACTCTTGATTTATTTTTTGAAAACCACACCAATTGAACCAATTCCCTGAGGCATACTGCAGACCACAATTGAATGGTGCAAGATCGTTGTCTTGATCATAAGTTGTAAACTTCATTCCATTGTGGACGACATTGGAATAAGGAGAGTTCAGAACATTAGCCTTATCTCCACTGTATCCAGATACGTTGATGGAATATTTTTCAAACTCTGAATTGATCTGGGGTTGGTTCCATATTATCATTTTTTTAAATAATTTTTTATTTAAGCAATTCAATTTTAATATTTTTATAATTTTAAATTATTAATTAAAATAAAAAAAAGATATAAAATTGAAATTTTAACTGCTTGAAATTTCAACTATTAAGAACTGAAATAAAATCCATAAAAGTTTCTACTCTTTGCGGAGAGGGAGGGGTCAGGAAATTTGTAACACTTTGTGGCGAGGTTTTGGGGACATCCACATTTTTCCAATTTCATCGTGAATGAAATCAGAAACAGTTTGTTTTTTTAAACAAAATTTCATATTTTGATTCAAAGATGAACATACGCATACGCATCAAATAAATTTAGATCTTTGATTTTAATATTTTTTTTATCTAATTCAACTCAAATAAAACAGAGGTCATCAAATTGGGCTCATATTCCACACAATCAAAAAGTTACAAGACCTGGCATCAATCAGGATTGGTAATAGTAATATCCTTGTATGTGACACTTTAAAGACAGTCGATGTTGTTCTTGACAAGAAACTAACTTTTTCAAATCATATTACATCTATTATTAAAGCGTGCAATTATCACATTAAGGAAATACGTCATATCAGACAGTTTTTATCAGCCGATCTGGCTGGGAATCTAGCGCTTTGTTTGATATTGTCCAAACTTGATTATTGTAATTCAATGATGTTTGGCATATTTCAGAAGCAGGAAACACGTCTCCAGAGGCTGATGAATCGGGCTGCCAGAGTCGTACTAAGTATTGATACACCACCAAATCTACTAATATCTGCAACATCTAATTTGAAAAACCCTCATTGGCTTCCATTTCATAACCGTATCCAGTATAAAATCGCCATCAGCGTTTTCAAGTTGTTGTCATCATCACATTCACCGTTCTATCTTGATTGTCTTCTTCATCTAAATAGGAATAATCAATATCTTCCCTCTTGGTTTCGAGGGCGTTTCAGTCGCTTGCACTGGCGCTTCATAAATGATATTTATTATTATTATTTATGAGGTTATGCCCGTGTTTATTCAATATACATAAGTTAGTTTAGATACAGATTCAACATAAATGACTTAGTCGGTTTTAACCTGAATTATATGGGAGTGGTCTGAAACTTTGTGACCGTTTGTGACAGGAAGGAGAGGAAAATCAAAAACACATAAGAGCGGGACCTCATTATAGAAGCTCCATACATTTACTAGGTTATTTATATTCTTATTGTTGTTGATGTTAATTCAATTATAAAAATTTATAAATTTATACAATTTTAAAGGGTGTCAACACAACACAACGCATGCAAACCTGCATGAATCCACGCTCTACACACACGGAATGTGATAGTTTGGAGATAGGTAGGGATTAATTTTATAAAAAATATAAAAATTATTTCTGGAAATTTTTATGTTTGTGAAATACACACCTTGAAATGTACATATTCATCGGAGTACCAAACACCTCTGATGAGCACTTCAAACCTTAACCTGTATTCAGCTGAATTCGTTAGTTGGTGCATCTTCTCCAGAAGTTTTTGTAGTAAGTTCCAAATCCGGACTGAAATATATCAATTGTAGTAAAAAAATTAACATAACATAAAATAACAAAGATTTTATAGTGATCCAAGAAGACTGAGTCTGTGACTAGACCACTCTGAGATTTTTTTTAATATCAAGTTTTTGTCAAGTGTGTTTAAAGTTATTAGTTGTTTTTAAGCATAGACAGACAGACAGACAGATAGACAGAGAAATAGAGAGATAGAGAGAGAGAGAGAGAGATAAAGAGATAGATAGAGAATTAAAAATAGAAAAAGTTACGAAGAAAAAAGAAAACAATACTACATCAAAAACAAACTAAAAATAACAAATAATAGAAAAACTGATAGACAGAGTGAATAAAGCCAAAAATAAAGGAATCAAATATTAAAAGCAATCGTTAATGGATCTGGAGTGAGTGATCGAAAAAGTGCCTTCTCGAAGACAAACAAAAAATAAAGGAGGTTAATACAGGAGAAAAGTTAGTAGAGAAGACATTAATGAAAAGAGAAAAAACTGGTGGAATGATTGAGAAAAAAAAGAGTATTGATGTGGGAGATGTGGGAAATTGATTGTTAGAGAGAAGGAGATTATCTTTTTTGGTCATCCTTCAAAAATAAATAAAAAAAAAGGAGAGAGAGAGAGAGAGAGGTTGGTGTGAATTGAAAAATATACTGATAGAATGATAGAAAAAAAGACAGATTGGAAGAGAGAGAGAGAGAGAAAAAGATGTGAATTAAAAAATATTCTGATAGAAAGATAGAGAAAAAAGACAGATGGAAAGAGACAGAAGGATAGAGAGAGATTGTTGTAAATTAAAAAATATTCTAATAAGAAGATAGACAAAAAAGACAGATGGAGAGAGAGAGAGAGAGAGAGAGTGGGAGAAATGACAAAGATAATGAGCGAAAATAATACTTATGCTAACTTAAAATTAAAAAGATGATCATTAATTTAAGTATATTAAAATTTTAACATCCAACATTATCGTAATCGTAACTTCAACTCCGTCACCATCATCACCGTCATCATCATCATCTCATCATCAAAAACATCATCATCATCACCATTCTCATCAACATCATCATCATCAACAACATCATCATCATCATCAACAACATCATCATCATCATCAACAACAT